GAGTTCAAATCCAAATATCACCAAAAATAGATTAATTAGTTAGATAAAATAACTATGCTTCTGTAACATGTCAATAAAATCTTAATTAGATTTCTTGAAGTAAAAGGAAAAAAATTACTAAGCCACATTTAGTATAAGTAAAATTAAGCAGATATTTCTGTGCATCTTAAACATTCAGGGAATATTTTCATACCTAAAGTATAAGCACTGTACATTTAGCATTTTTCATTGTTTCAGAGGAAATAGATGTCTAGCTAAAGGATAACAAAAGGAGCCTCCTTATTAACTCTTAAGAACCTGGAATACTAATACAGGTTAATTTTTCGCTTAAGGGTAATGGAAAATTTGTATCAGGTTTACTACCAAGGCAAAACATAGATCTACCCACATAGTGAATAGATACCATAACCATATAATTTCTCCCAAATTGAGTCAACAGCCATATTTATAATCTTAATCTCATCCCAACATTTCTTTTCTGTGATTATTTCTCTGCAACAAAAAGGCAATTTAAACACAGTGGATGAAATTAAGATATTAAGGATCAAAGCTGGTATAGCAACTAAAAGACCAGAAAGCCATAGTATTGTGGCACCTGAAAACTGTCTCCTGTTTCTGTAATCTCTGGTGTCCTTGGAAAATAAAGCTTAAGGCATAGATGTGCTTGTAGACAGTTTGGATAATTAACACTTAATGTGTTCCATGGCATAGAGAAAGCTAGCTAGTCCAAACCTTGTCATTTCCTAGACCATTCCCAATTTGAGCTTTCCTATAACTGTATCAGTGAGCAGGACGGGAGGTGAGGAAACACCTTCAAGAAAGAATAAATCAACATGTTTCTGTAGCCTTTAATTTTGTCTGAGAAAATGCTCATCTGTTCTCTCCTTAGGAGCTCTTGGTATTATGTGGCTGTCATCACTGAGGAGTCCAGGCTTCACAAGATAACTTGGTGCTTGGCTTCCTCCACCATGTCCAGTAACCTAGACTAAGAGGCAGATACTCAGAATTTTGTAAATCCTATATTACATTTACTTAAAAAGTCAGAAGGCTATTCTCATACAAACTTCAGGTCCTGAAATAGTTGTGACTTCCAGACTTTGAATATCTAAGTGAGGAACCCAGAATATACTCAAAATTAAGTTAGTTTCCAAGGGAAAATCAAACCAAGGGCTTGATATGACTAAGGAACTATTGGACAAGTTATATGTCAGGGTTTTTTTCTTTTATAATCTTCCAGTAGTATAACTACACAAACTCACAGAATTTGTATAAATTAAAACTGTTGTAGACCGTACTGTGTAAATATCAAGCTTGACCATCTCCCTTCAGTTAGAACAGTAGGACATAGAGTTCTGTGGCTAAGAGTAAAGATTTTGCCACCAGGCTATTTTGATTCACTGTTGACTATCTAGGTGATCTTAGTCAAGTTATTTAACCTTTCTAGTCTTCAGTTTCATCATGTATAAAATAAGAACAACAGTACCTAGCATAGGGTTGTGTGGATTGAATGAGCTGATACATATAAGAAATGTGCAACAGTGGCTTGTAGTAACTGTTTAATGTTATGTGATTGCAAGAACTAAAAGCCAAAAAACACACACTTTTTTGACACTTCATCACAGGGTTCACCCTAAGGTGCACTTTTGTGTACCCTAAGGTTATTTCAGACTTTTTTTCAGCTTTGCTTTCTTACGTAACTCTACTGTTATTTTACTTTATTATTTTATTTTAATTCATTAGGTAACCAGGCAGACCTTGAACCTCTGGTTCTCCTGCCATGGCTCTCAAATGCTGGAATTTCAGATGTGAGCCACCACACCCATAACTCAACCTTTTTACTTTTGCACTCTTCTTTACCATTTTTTGGGTTGTTTTGGGGCACTGTGTTGTAGTTTTGGGGAATACTAGGGATTGAACCCAGGGCGTCACATGTGCTAAGCACATGTTCTACCACTGAGCTACAACCCCAGCCCTCATTGTAGAGTATATGGAAGGTAAAGTACAAAGACATGGAAGGAGGGGCATATACTTCTGCTGTCTTTCTATACTTCTGTGTTTTTATATTCTCATTTTCTTCTCAGTAATATAGGTTATTTCCCATGTCAGTAAAGTTTGTAATAATGGATTTGATTGTGAATTGCTTGGAGGAAGGGACCTTGTCATCCTTGACACCTATCCACAAAATAGTAAGTTTGCTCTTTGGGCAGTTTTTGCCTGTAATTCATAAAGGACAGCAGTTATTCCAAGTGAGCAAATGCATTCGTGCATCTTCTATTTATTGGGAATTTCGTCTAATTTAGGTTGTTTTCTAGATTTCTAAGGCCTTATTAAAATTCAGCTAAGGGGATTATTGGGTCCTTTTTCCCCCACTTGGTATTTGGATTAGAATAAAAAAGTTTAGAATCCATTTTTTTGATTGAATTCCACCTTTTGAACAGGGTGAAATTACTTTTTCTTATAACAGATTCTACAGAGATTTTGATTAAACTTAAGCTATAAAAAGAACAATATTCATAAATTCTTTTCATGTTAGACGGCATGGTGGTGCACAGCTATCAGCCAGCACTTAGGAGGCTATGGCAGAAGGATTGCAAATTCAAGACCAGCCTGGACTACATGGTGTGACCCTGTCTCAAAAATAAATAAATAAAATTATTTTTACTTACGGTATAAATAAAGGAAAAGTATGCCCATTTTATTCTCATTGCAGGCTGTCTTGATTGACATGGAAGAAGGGGTAGTAAATGAAATTCTCCAGGGACCTTTGAGAGATGTGTTTGATAGCAAGCAGCTAATAACTGATATTTCTGGCTCAGGAAATAATTGGTGAGAATATGCTGAACATAAACATTGAAAGTCCTCTGAAAAAACTGACATTTAGTCCTTTACCCTTATAGATCCTGCTAACTAGAAAGCAGGATGTAATTTGCCACACATAAAGCTTGTTACTTGCAACTCTCATATTTATTATTTTACTAAAGCATGAATTTGAATCTTGTGTTCTGGGAGACTCATTCAGGGGGAACCAGTCACTTAGTAAGTGAGCATTTTACCTCCCACCTTGCCTTTCTCTGCTTGTGTAATTTATGTAATCTTTGAATTACACCTAACTGCATGTAATGGGAAAATTATTTTATAATTTACATGGTGATGCTTGCAAATTTGAGCAACCCAAAAGACATGCAGAACCTCATGAATATCAATTTTCTATCATTT